AACTGCAAAGGATCAGAGAAGCGTTCGAAAAAATATCCAATGAAGATAACTGGAGTAAAGCGAAAAAGCCAAGCCAACTGCACATGCATGATGCGCATCCTTTGCTTGTAGACTCATTGCACATGACATCAGTAGGTGAGCATGCATGTTTACGTATGGCGTATGTAGTATGTACTTGGGTATACACCAGTACACACGTATGCAGGTACTTGTACGTATATACGGCATGTGCGTTTGTATGCACACGTACGTAGGTAGGTACGTACGTACATAGGTACGCATGCATGTCCGTAGCCATTACTGTGAAATTCTACTTGTGTGAATGTGTGACTCTCCTTTGCTGGCCTCCTGCTAAAGCCACTTGTCATGGCCGGCGTTAAATGCCCCGAGTCCTGCCGGGTGCTAAAAGATCCGTGCGTGTGACTCGGGGTCAGACTCTTGTCTGGAGTCGTGCCAAAAGTTTTTAAGTCGGTAGCTCTCAACCCGGGGGCCTGACTTTAGCGAGCGCCTCTCCTGACTCAGCCGCGCGATTGCGGGACATCGAGGGGGCAATCCTTACGCTGTTCTCCGCGAGGGTCCGGCCGGGGGACATAGTCGGGAACGCAGTCCGACGGCATCACATCTCCGAGGCGAGTGGGGGACACTGACATCAGCTACCGGACCGTGATCGGCGGCCTACGCCACTGACTCTGCCCTCGGGGGGATTCTCGGCTACCTGAGGGGTCCTAAAGAATCTCCTGATTGTGCATCGTGACACTTTCTCAGGGACACCGAGAAGGGCACCTCCACCGGAGGGGGGGAAGGGGAAGGGGCAGCACAGCCCATGGAAGCAGAGAGAGGCACGCGTGCACCAGGGAAGAATCCCCCTCGAAGAAGGGGCGAGTGGGGGACCCAGAGCAGGCCTTGACGCTCTCCATGCTTCGTGCGGTCCTGAAAGGGACCGGGAGCATCTCGCCCAGAGCCTAGCCGGAGTGCAGGGGGATATGACGGTCATGCAGGGAAAGGTCCAGGCAGTGGAAGCCATAGCAGGCACAGGCTCTGGAGGAGGTGAAAGAAGCTCAGGCGATGATGGAATGCAGGCTGCACACGCTGGAGCAGAAGCCATCCTCAACTGCGCCCGGGAGGAAACCGGCGCTGATTATCAGGGGGCTGGCACCCAGACCAGGCCGCTGAGGAAACGCTCAAAGCAGCTCGAAAAATCCTCAGAACCTTGGAGGTGCCGCTCAATGGGGACGAGATGTTTGTCCCGGGGCTCCGCAGGTCAAGGGGGCTCGTTGAAGGACCTCGAATTTGAGTTCGCCACGGGGACCCTGTGGTACCGCCAACACAAGGTGGCGAGCGCCGCTGCAGAAAAGCCACCCTCGGGAGAAGCTGTGGGGGGTGGCTGGGCGGACGTGAAGCTGCTCGCGAAGGTGATGCGCAAAGGTTCGGCGGAGGTGGAAGCAGTGTGGGGGGCCCGCAAAGCGGAGCTCCAGTGATGGGAAAGCGACGTCACCAAGTTTCACCGCACAGAAGGGGGGCACGATCCCCCGCAGCTTCTTCGAGTGGGATCCTGGAATGTTGGGGGGCTCACGGAACAACATGTGCTGCCAATCCTGCGCGGGGGACCCAGACTTTGAGGTACTGCAAGTCTTGGTGCTGCAAGAAATCATTGCCGAGCCAGGGTTCAGTACCATGAAGACCATGGGCGGACGATCGTCTTCGGCAAGAATTCGGGGGACTGGAGAGGGACAGCCATAGCATACCGTACAACAGTTGCACACCACACCAGCTCCAAACTTCTACCTTCGGGGATAGCCACCGCTCTCACACCACCGCACAGCAAACATGGCACACGCTTCCTTTCAGGTCCCACACCGCGCCACGATTGCACAAGCTGAGAACATCCTGGGTTCATGGGGAGCACGGACGGTTCTGGGCATGGATGCCAACGAGACGTTCACGGACCTCGATGGCGAGGGGTGGAGCACACAGGGAGGGGAGAAACCATCCTGGCGACCCACCAACACTGGGGGGTGAGGCAAGGAAGCCGACACATGGCCAGATCGGCGCTTAACAGAACAGGGGAGGCCACAGCAGCGCTTCAAGGATAGCATCGCACTGAGGCAGCTGCGCAAACAAGCGCACCAGGCGAGGGGGCAAGAAGCCAGAGTGCTGTGGAAACAGGTCTCAAGACAACGCAGCGGCAGTGATATGGGGACGTGGTGATGGCGGCCAGCACCAGCAACTGGGGGCCATCAACACGCTCAAGGCCAGGGTCGGGTGGCACCATCCCCTCACGGATGACCCACGGTGGCAGAGCCAGTTGGGCCCCGATATTTGCCAAAGCGCCGACTCAGCGAACCCGTCGTAAGCTGCGAGACACCAGGGGGGCCCTCACGCGACTATGTAAGCACCATCCATGACGGCCTTTCACGGCAGAAGACTTGCTGTTCGCTACCCGAACGTGGCAGAGGAACAAGGCAACTGGCCCGGACGGAATCACTCGCGAACTGCTGCTGCAGGTGCTCCAGGATGCTGTGTGGAACCACCGCATCCTCCACATGCTCAACGATTTCCTTTGCAAGGGGGAAATCCCAGTACCAGCCAAGACCCATGGGGGACCCGCAGGAGTGCTGGGAAGAACCGGTGGTCGAGGTTACAAACAAATGTAATTGGTTAAGTAGGTTTAGCTTAAGGGGTTAAAAATGGGTTTAGCTTCAGGGGTTAGCAAAGAATAGAAAAGAGGTTTCGTCTCAGTTACATAAAGAGTCTGTTGTAGGTCTTAAACCTTCCAAACCCGGAACATAAAAGCCTAAAGCCCTAAACCCAAAGCCAAGACCCTGAACATAAAACCCTAAAGCCCTAAACCCAAAGCCATGAAAACACTGCATGTCAGGACTTGTTTTTGGCACTGGCATGCCTCTCGTGTCCCGTCGGAAGACTTATGTGCCACCCCTCAGTTCTGCCGCCAGGCCGTAGCCTTTTTATGGCCTCACTGCCATCTTCTTCCACAGGGCCGTAGCCTGCATGTTAGATTGATGGCCGTCTTCTTTTTCAGATCATGCCTCCATAGACGTCTTTTAGCTCGGCAGGCGCCTTTTTTAGTTGTCATTGTAGTATCGCCAGTACACTTCGCTGTACTCCACGATGCACTTTTTGCACCAGTGGTTCTTGTGGTTGACACGGCGCCTGTCCCACAGGTCAGTGCACCCTTGGGTCTGGCAACACCGGGAACATGACGAGGTGATTATCCACTCATCAAAGCCGTCATCTCTGTCCCCTTTTTCCATACGTCTGCATACAGAGCCCATCTTCGGCTGCAAACTTCACAGATTAGGCCTTGGCCTTCTTTTAAGAGTTTTTAGCCCTTAGACTGCAGGCCCTTAGGCACTCTCATTTACCAGGACTGCTGCTGTCAGCCAAAATGCGGCGGTAAAAAGTATATATGTCACGCAAGCATCATGTGTGATATCATGGAGGCATGAAAACTGTGGTGTCTCTCATCATGCATGCATGCCCTGCACCTACAACTTTGCATTTCTTCCATGCATCTGTTTCCCTGCGATCCCGTGCAGGATGCAGCCATTCTGCTGCATGGAATTATGATGGTGATCTGTGCAGCACAGACCGATTTTCGGTGATGCTCATGTGTGCGTACACGCAATCTTAAAGAGTTAATTGGTTGGCAGTGCATCGAGCCCTGCACAGCTGCCTCAGCAGCCGTTCTTCTTCTTCCACAGAATAATGGCCTCTCTATGGGCCTCTCGCTGGCAGTCTCCCACTTGCTGCTCCGAGAATCCTTGGTGCTTTGCCCACGTTCCGGCTCGCTTGTACATGCGAGAAGCATAGTTCTTGTGGATAAGGCCGTCCTCCCAAACAAGGGGGAAGTTTCGCTTTCCATGCGAGCCTCGGGCTTCCTGCTTCTCTTCTTTGTGCGAAGCACTCTTGTCCTTGGACAACTTTCCTTTGCCTTTGCCTTTGCCCTTCTTGTTCTTATTCGCTTGACCTTGGCCATCCGTCTTTTTCTGAGCAGCTGCACTCTTGTCCTTGGGCAGGTTTCCTTTGCCACTCATTGCAGATGCAGCAGCCGGCTTCTTCAGAACCCCAGCTTTGCGATCCTTCAGCTTCTGGAACAGAGCTTCGTCGTCGAGATCGTTCTCACCAGGGGCCGACTCCTCGGCAGCTTCGGCTTCGGCTGCAGGCAGGGCTAGCTGCAAGGCAGAGGGTCGCCGTGGCGAGGTCTGCTCTGCCTGCTGTCCTTCATGTGCTTGCTTGGCAGCAGAAACCGCCTGGGCTGGGTTGCCCAGAGCAAAGCTGACCCCGGCACTGCTGCTCATCTCGCTTCCTGTGAGGGAGGGCCGTCGAGGGGCAGGGTGTCTGCAGGGGCATGCGTGGAGTGAATGTGAAGATGCAAAACAAGAAAACAACATGCGAGGCAGTCCTCCTTTGCAAGATACTGGAGCCTGCAGCAAGCTGCAGCTGCCTTCGATCCCCATCCTGGAGGGCATTCTGACCGTAGCCCTGGTCCAGCAATCTTTCCAGTCGCCCGAAGGCCTCGTCCATGCGGCTCTGAAACTCGTCTGCATTCTGCTGCTGCTGCACAGCCTTGCCATCTGGCCTCGGCAGCCTTCCCGTCCGGTTTTTCTGCAAGAGCTTGGAAGCAGATCGCATCGGGATGTGGAAAAGCCATATCCCAGCCTTCACGTCTTTGCCCATGGGCGGGTCGTCGGCCTTTTAGGCTCGGTCGGCAATCCCGCCGGGTCGTCGGGATACTTGATCAACCCGAAGTCACTGGTCCCTGCCTCAGCATTAAGCGATTCCCAACTTCGCTTAAAGATCTGCACTTCTTCATAGATTTCCTCGTACGTTGGCATTTGAGCCAGCTCTGGAGCTGCCAGAGCCAACAGCATGGCAAGCCCTCGCTTAACAGTCTGTTCCGTCAAGCTGCTCAGGCCTAACAGGAGATATCTTCTGAGAAGGGTTTCCAGCCTCGCCGATCCTGGTCCCTTTTGCAGCACAGACCACTCATTGACTGTGATGTAGTTTTCTGGCTTCAGCACGGTCTGCGGTTTGGCTTCCTCCTTCCGCTTAGTGGCAGGCGATGCATTTTCTGTCGGTGTCGCTGCCGTAGCAGTGGCCATCACTTTGCTTTCAACAACTGCAAGCATTTTTGCTGACAGAGTGCTCTCGAAACTCAGACCCTCGATCGTCTGCTTCAGGGCCATGGGGTGTGGCAACGTGATGCTCGGTGTGCCCTCCAGCCGGGTGCACCAGCTGCTATCAAAGCATCGACCGAGGGCCGACTCCCTGTTTTAGCCCACTCGGCCATAGGGCCGAGCTCGGCTGCAACTCGCGGGCCATGTTCCAATCTCCCCGTAGCGAGATATAGTGCTGTGGCCACAAAAGCAAGATCTACAAACTGTACAAGAGCCAAAATGGCACCCGCATGCATATCCACCTATACTGCCAGCACAGCATGTCGCCTGCATGTGTTTACGTGCACGACGCATGGCCGTATTCCAAAATCCGGGGTGCATGCAGGGAGAGAGCAATCTTTTTCAACGGAGGGAGGCAGGCAGGGTGATTCGTCGTCGGCCTGCGGCCATATCTCTCCAGTTACATGCAGACAGAAAGTCTCTGCATGGCACCAGATGCAGGCTGTCTTTGCAGGAGCACTCCCCGACGAGGTCATCGCAAACCAGACAAGAAAGGGAATGCAGAACACTGTAGGGTTGCCCTGCCAATTCCACGAATGCCCACACGAGGGCACAGTCCAAGCAACCGTTCCCTTGAAGCAGCACCGCATCGCCGCGACATGTCCGTTCCCCAGAGGGCAGCCTGACTTTTTCTGCAACCAGAACTTGTGAGGCCGTGGCCAGTTCCGGAATGCACTTCCGGAGTGCTTCCGCCTTCCTCCGAGAAGCTAAGCTGGCTTCGGGTCCAGCAACTGCAGCATCGCTGCGAAGCAATCAGCTCTTGCCAAGCAATATAGTTCTTGCCCAAGAACTTTTCGGAGAAGACCCTGCTCGTAAGCAGAAGTCTTCTTGATGTCCTCGGCGAATCGCTTTATATAGTGCGATGCTTTCTTTCGTGGGTGTAGCATTGAACCATGAAGCCCCACTTTTCTAGGTGCGAGCCGAAGTGGAGAAGACAATGGAACTTGGCATGCATGCGGTCATGCCACTCAGCTGCATGCGCTGCTTGGAGGAAGTCGGCAACGTGCTTTTTCTCATCTGCCCGGGCGAAACCAGTCCCTCAATGCGAGCTCTCTGGCAGCATGCCACGAGTTTGACCCGGCGATGCTGAGCTTGCCCGCTTTCTCGGCAACCGCATTGCGGATGTACTGGACAGCCACCCCGGCCACGGTGATGGCGCCCAGCGGTGTCCGTGGTCAGAGCGCCAAGTGTCGGAGACGGTCGGTGCAGAGCCGTCACGCCACTGCGACCAGTGTGCTCTGCGTGTGACTGCGCACAGTATTGGCACGTTTGCTGGCGTGGCCAGGCGGAGATGTGTCAAAGTCTCAGAGGGTGCACTCCCAGGAGCTCGACAAGCAGGGAGGCGCTATGAGGGAACTCGAGAGAAACAACCCGGTTCGGCCGTCGGTGAGCAACAAGCCACTGCGATCGGATCGGTTGACGGCTGCTATAGCGGGAGGCACTAGCATATGGGTCGCGCGCAAACAGGAGAAGTCGCGCCGACGGGCTCAAGAGCACAGGCTCCGGCTGGAAAGCGAGGCAGCACAGTCTCGAGCTGCCGGAGCTCCCGCCGAGGAAGGAGAGCCCACTGGCGCAGGGTTGGATGCACGTATGCGCGAAGCTGCGCAACAGGAACTTAGAGAGTTTGAAAAGCAAACGTGCCCCCGACTCCAAGCGTCGCCGAAAGCTCAAAAAGCAAAGGCGTAAGGACCGCGAGGGGGGACCTGGCAAAGGTGATGGAGAAGGGCCCGGCAGGAACGACGATGCCGAAAGGGACACGAACCATGCAATAGCGCATGGAGAGCCCAAGGCTACCACGTCGTCACCCGTGGGGGAAAGTTCCGAGGGCCGTTTCGGCCCCGGAACCGACTCCGAGGGCCCTGTCGACCCAGTAGGATCCGAGGACCGCTTCGGTCCCGGAGCCTTCCAAGATCCGGAAGCTAGGGAAGCCTCGTTCTGAGTGCCGTTACATGCGGTGGGCTGGAGTTCGCGGCCGGTCAGGGCCTCTTTCGCAGGAGGGGAGGCGATTTAATCGTAGTAACCTTGAGAGGCACAGCCTATCACCGACCAAATTACCCGCACCTCGACCGAGACCCGGCTCAACCGCATGGGAAGTCGCGGTGATCTGCGGGGAGACGGAATTCCACGCACCTAACTGTGTGCTGGGCCGGCCCCTCCATCGCCGACTGCAGCCTTGCAGGGATTGTGGTCCGGAGGCTGGCTGGTCGTACGCTCTCGCTTTGGGGCGCCGAAGAAACGACGCCGAAAGGGACACAAACCATGGAATCGCTCACTGGCTGTGGGTGTTCCTGGGTGTTTGTTGGTTTCTCGGCACCCTGCTGAGTTGCTGCGCCTATGGATCCGAGGCATGTTTCATCCCCGGATCCCACGAGCCAGCAGCTAAGGAAGAGTGCGAAGAAAAAGTAAGAAGGGTAGCAGGGGAGCCTAAGAGAGTCCGCTTCTGGCAGAGTACCGAGAAGGGAGAGGAATCTAAAGGACCTTCTTTTGAGGGACTATCTGCGCCCTTTAGGAAGCAGAAGAACCCTGCCTTTCTGGGAGGCCCTGCCACAGCCAAGCGACTCTGGGGGACTCGATCGGCCCAGCCCGAAGTCCCGCTTCTCTGCAGAAAGGACTTCGAAACGGAAGCTCTAAAGGCCGCCATGGACAGGCTCGCCTCGGGCACACAAAAAAGCCTACGAAGGCCAACTCCGATGGTGGAGATTATTCTGCACAAGAAGGGGGGTCAGTTGGTTGCTGCAAGGGAAAGATCCCCAAGCCGACGAAGATCTTCTTGTGGATTTTCTCCTCCACACTGCCGTGAACGGAGGAAGGGCACCGGGGACCCTGAAAATGAGACTGGCTGCTATAAAGTCCGCCCACGTTTCGTTGGGTCTCAAGGATCCCCTCGAGCAGAAGCCCAGGCTCCTCCTCATCATGGCTGGCTTCAAGAAGCGCTATGCCGCTATGCCACGCCCGCAAGGCGCCTACCGGTCACGCCCAACATTGTGGCCCAACATGCCGCTTTTCCTTTTTGGGCCTGTGGAAGTCTGACCTTGAAGAGGCACCCGGCCTTTGGTTCGCCCTCTGTCTTGGGTATTTCTTCTTGTTGCCGGCATCTGAATTTCTCCCGGTTATGCACCTCCCAGGGTCGCGCCACTTGAAGGGAGGAGACCTGCTGTTACGCAAAGAGGGCAAACTCTACGACGCCGCTTCCCTCCGACAAGCCGACGAGGTCGTCATACATTTAAGGGGGAGTAAGACGGACCGCTACAACCGTGGTGCCGCGCGCAACCATTTTTGTGGCGAACCACCTCTCTGCGCAGTAGATGCGACTATCCGGATGTTCGTCGCTTACCCTGAAAGGTATTACGGCATGGAAGAATCTCACTTACCTCTCTTGAGGAATGTGACGAGGGAGAACTTGCAGATGATGATTGCCAGGGCCGCGTCCCACTGCGGGATGCAAGGCGCAATTGGGGCTCACTCCCTTCGCTTTGGGGGAGCCTCAGCGATCTGGGCAGCCTTTGAGAATAGCGCGAAACTTCAAAGGTTTGGCCGCTGGACGTCAAATGTTTATCACGAGTACATCTGGGCGGCCCGTGACTCTGCAAAAGGAGTAGCACAGGCCATGGCTAATGTCGACCTGATGCCACCGTAAGAGTGGTTAGCCCGAGGACCGCTTCGGTCCCGGGCAGGCCACAGCCGGAGGCCTGTGTGAACATATTATTTTTGAAATAATTACGAGGGAAAGGGCACCTGCGCTTCCCCTCTCCTTTGAGGCTTTGAGCCGAGGACCGTTCCCGTCCCGGCTTCGTCGAAGGGGGGGGTGAGCCCCGACCGGGGCAAAGCACCTTTCAAGTGCACTGCGCGCAAAAAGGTGTGACGCGCACTCGTGCTGCCTGAGTGTAGAGTGAGTGAGAGTGAAACCTGTTTAGTACAGCGTAGCGTACGTAGAGTTTCACCTGTCGTCTCACCTCTGCGTTTAGGCTCAAGGTAGCTTAGCTTTTTAGGTAGCCCGCCCTCCCACCCCCGAGCCCCGACCGGGGCAAAGCACCTTCCAAGTGCACTGCGCGCAAAAGGTGTGACGCGCACTCGTGCTGCCTGAGTGTAGAGTGAGTGAGAGTGAAACCCACATTTGCACTTCAGAGAAAGGCGCTGTGTGAACTTTCAGGGTTATTTTGGCATCAGAAGTTGGGTGAGCTGTGCACCATACGTTACAGAAGATTGTGTAGATTCCCGGAACAAGTGACTTTGGCATGGTAGCGGAGTTGAAAGCTCCGAAGAACTTTGGCGTTGGCAACATTTGGACATTAAATGAAGCGTGTAGCCGTAAAGGAGTGGCATACATAAACCCAAAGTTGAGTGAGGAGTGCAACAAATTCACGCGAAAGTGCAACTGGAGGGGAGCGAACAGAAAATTATTGTTGATTGTTGGTGTCGAACCTATCAGTCAACGGTTTTCGAGCGGGTTCCACAGGGTTGACAAGTCTTTCGATCCATGGCTCCGAACCTATCAGTGTGTTAGCTGCTTAAAGCGCTAAGCATTTTGTAGCCCTTTGTGCCGAGCGCTTTTTGCCTCCTGGGCTCGCTGGACTCAAGCGTCTCTCCTTAAGACACGTCATGACCCTTCGTGCAAATTCAACCGCCAACGACACGACGAGATGCGTCGATCCGCTACGAAGCTCTGCTGACATTGCGAGGCCAGCTGCCTGACGATCAATGAGGCCACAGTACGATGTTTATCGCCAGTTTGACGGCGTGCGGCCAGTCGTTGCAGTCGTTGCTGCAGGTCCCCGGCGTCAATGCGATTATTGATGATGGGACCGCTGCCACAAATGCTCTTGCGAGTGACGGGCACGATTCTGAACCATTTGAGTGGTACTGATTGTCGTTTGTTCCTCTTAGAGCCAAGTGGTGCTGTTGTTGATTTCTGCTGATGTTGTACACACCATGCGCGGCTCTGCGACCTCCCGTCCGCGTCATCTTGCGATCCGTGTTGGATGTTGGCTACAGTACCCTGCAGCAATGCAAAACTGCTGTCAGCGCGGCGCTGTTTTGGCGTGGTTTTTACTGTTGGTGCCCGGTTCTACCAAGTCATCCGTGTGACAGCCAGAGTCTGTTTCAGCTTCAGCCGAAGACATTCGCAGTCATTCGAATGTCGTTGTGTTTTGAGCAAGTGTCCGCTGGGCTTTCACGGAATTTCCTCGAGCTGTGATGTGAATGGTCTCAAGGTTCCCCCCTGCAACAAGGCTTGTGAGTTCCTGAGCCTTCAGGACCAAGGAGACCGTTTGGAGAGACTACGTTGTTGCCTGAGTTTGCCTAGCCATTTTTGTGGTATCTGGTGTGCAACATCTCCGAGGTGGACATCAGCATTCCCATCCCCAGTCCGCGGGGTATTATTGCCTGCACGTTGAGGGATGCCCAGTCCATGTCCATCCGCGATATGGAGCACGAGATCGCAGGGTGCCGGAGACACGTTTGCACCTGCCAAGCCAGCGTCACACCGCTTCGCCCGTTAAGATGTGTGGCCCGACCATGCCCGGGCACACAGGCTGACAGATCGAGCCGCACGGGACGAGCTTTGCGTGGAAGATCTTAGCCAGTCGACTTTCGGCATCGTGGATGCCGGCATCGCTGGGGGAATGCTTGGCACTGGAATCATGTGCGCCCCCTCAGGGCTTGGTGTCCGTTTTCGGGGAGCTTTAAGAGTATGTTCGCTGAGTGTGTCCGCAGAAACTTCCCGCAGAGCGCATCGATGGGTGGCGAGCTCAGGTAAGGTCGTCGCTGGACATTTC